GTAGTTTGTGATCAAGGTGAAGCTGTAACAACCCCAAGGCCTTACAACTAACATTAAAGCCAACTTCATGCCATCAGGAAAAGATGAAGTCATTCTTTTTTAAACAAAACTCAAAACACAGCCTAATAAATCTTTCAGTCATTTCTGACCCCCATCCCACATGCATACGACCCTTTAGGGCTAAGCCCCAGGTGTATAAAATGTCTGGCTCCGCCTATGGAGTCAACAGTATCCATGACACACAACGTAACGTTTGATAATGTGTCGTGCGCAGAAGCATCAGCTCTAAGAGCCGTGCTTAGAGAGCGCTTTGTAGTGAATGAGAAGAATAGACTCCCATTGAGCGAGAGCCGCTCCTCACTTAATTTCCTTTGGCTGCTCAGCTCTAATCCCTCCATATTGTGGCCAATTACATGCGAGGATATAGGATAATATCATTATGTGAAAAACAGAGAGGGTGAGAGAGAGGAGGGCTGTGCATCGCAAAAATACATAAATGTGGCTGACGCCCGTAAACGAAGCAGCATCTGGCTGCAGTTTAAAGACTTTTTTGTCTGAGTCTTGGTCTCCATACCCTCTGGTCTTGGTATTGTCTTGGTCTCTTGACTACAAGTCTACTGCTATCACACTCTTTAATTCATCCACTTAGGTCAGATCCACAAATGTGGAACAGAATTAATCACACCACAATGCACCATGTACACCATGACATATTTGAAGACATACTCGTCCTTTTAGATTTATATGTATAGTTATATCTCTATATTTATCTTAATATTTAAGTATCATAACTCTGTTTCCACACTCATTTTGTATGAGTGCTTGATGTTTGTTGTATATTTGCTGCTATAACAACTCAATTACCCTCTGAGATTAATAAGGTTTCTCTGATTCTGATTGCACAAAGTGGATGGGATAGGAGGATGACTACCTTGTTATTCCTCAACTTCACTCCAAATCAGTAACTATAGTTGGAACCTCCAGTTGTGTCCAAGTTCTAACAGAATAATGATCCCAAACACAAATCATTTAACATTAATGCAATGGCTTCAAAGCTCCAACCTCAGCTGCATTGAAAAGTTGTGGACTGCTCTCCAAATCTGTGCCTCAAAACTACCCAAGAGTGGTCAAATATCTGTTCGAAATTTTACCAGAAGCTTGTTAATGGCAACAAGAAGGGTTAGGTCGAGATGGACATTTAACCAAATATTAGTGGTTAACATTTGGTTAAATGTTAAACATTATTTGAGCCTGTATGTACAATTTTGACAAAATGAAATTCTTTTTTTCCAAAGTTATTAAAAATAGAGGCTTTACAAACATTCCACCCTGTAAAAAGATTCATCTCCAATATACTTCAATAAAGTAATTGAAGATGGATGACAAAAAAAAAAAAAAACTGGGGTCAACCATCCAATGAACAGTTCACAAGTTGAAGTAAACGTGTGCAGTTAGGGTGGGGATTGGGTTGAGTTGAATGTCAGGGGTTATTTGTGACAGAAGGCTATCAGCTAGAGAGAAAGGAAAAGCTTACAAGATGGTAGTGAGACCTGCTATGGTATAGTTTAGAGATGATGGAAGTTCTTGGGAGTTACAAGATTAGAAATGAGTATCAAAGGAACAGCTTGGGTTGAGTGGGTTAAAGACAAAGCTAAAGAAGAAAGGTTGTACATGTCCAAACAATCCTAAAGGATAGGGTTGGTGTGATAGAAGATTCTAGAGATGGGGTGAAAATTAGCCGGTCTCACTACCATCTTGTAAGCCTTTCCTGTAGTAATTCTTAAAGAGAGCAGCCGAAAGAAGATTTTAAACTATAAAATAATATTAAAGTTACAAAGAGGTTTCAAGGCATCTGTTGAGCAGTTAGTGGTTGAGCCCTTCCTGATTTGCTTGTTTGCCACATTTAAGATCATTAAACAAATGTAAATATTAGACAAAGATTGACATTGTTGATATTAGAAGACTGGAGTGGCCAAAATTCCTCCACAGAACTGTAAAAGACTCATTGCCAGTTATTGCAGTTTAGGGGGGGACACAGGGGTTTCGATTTTTCCCCTTAATGTTAATTACATTCATTTGAAAACTGCATTGTGGGTTCACTTGTGTCATTTCGATTTATTTATTTATTTATTTATTTTTGGGGGGCCTTGGGTCACCTGCTCACCCACTGAGCTAAACTGAAACTAAATGTGTTTAATGATCTGAAATATGTAAATGTGACAAACATACATAAAAATATCAGTAAGGGGACAAACACTACAAAGTGTTCCCAAAAACCTTCAGTGGCACATGAAACTCCAGGTTTTTGGCAGCCAGTAATAACAAAAACAAAAAGCAATGGGACATGCTCATTCTGCCTCAAACTCTACACTGCACTTAGACAAAAAACAAACAGATGGACTCTGTCAGGCTTTTAGCAGGAATATAGGCAAGTTAGCAAGTGGTGGGTGAAAATGACCGGTTAGTGTAACTGCATTCCTTTAAAAAAAAAAAGTCTTAAAAATGCTTAATGAGTCTTAAGTATGACACAATTTATGGGTTTCACAGGTTTATTAGAATCCAAACAGTAGTTGGGAGTTGGAACAATAAATAAATGGGCTTTCAGCGTGCTCAAGTGATTCAACAAAGAAATATGAAGACAAATCTCAAGTGTTATTCATTATGAAGGCCCAAATATAGCATAAGGTCACACCTGCCTTATTGTGGAACAACTAAAAGGCACATACAGAACCAACATATAATGTAGGTGACATACATGCAGTAGTGAAAAAGAAGGAATACACAACCCCATTGGTCATTTACTTTTATGTCCTACAGCACAAGACATGAAAGGAAATGCCTCAACAGATGGAGATCTGGCTAAACTCCACCATATCATGTCCTCACAGAGCTACATGTAGACCGCTTACAAAAGGAACAGTGCTCGTTTAACACCATCACAAATCTGCAAACTGATTAAAAGCATATTAAAACAAAAACAAAACACTTTCTGAACAAAGCATTTCAAGATGATAAAGTGACATCTGTTTCATTTCAAATCCTACAGTTTAAATTTAGAATGACATCAACATAATCAAATTCTGGACTTGTTTTCAATTATTATATTATATTATATTATATTATATTATATTATATTATATTATATTATAAAAGCTAACATGACATCACAGATGCTATTTAAGGTATTTTTAATAACCCACAATTTAAAACTAAATAGTGTACAACCAAGTAAAATGCAGCTTCTCTCTCCTTTCATTCAGTGTGCTAAAAGCATATCAAATCTGGTTTTTGGTGGTGACTTGCTGCAGAAAGGATTCCTCCTTTGATAACTGAAGACACTTGTTCACCGGGCAGCCACTTTTGATCACTTTATCAAAAAAATGATTTCTAAAAGCGTAAAGTAAAAATCCCCTCATTACACCAGGATACACTAGGTTTCATGTGGATTGTGAATGTCTCTTTTTTTTTTTTTTTTAACTTTTTAAACTGACAGGGCTCTTATATTAGAAACGCGGCAACATTACACATGAACTTCACCTCAACATTTTGTTGAATATCAGTTAATTGTTAGTCGTTCCTGGTTTCTTCTTCTTTGTCCATCTCATGTGTTGCAGCTTGCATTGTAAGAAGGAGGAGCCTCTGAAACACACACCATCAAACCAACTGGTTAATATTTAAACACTGTTAAATACCACACTTTATATATTGCCACAAAACAAGCAGTATGAGCTAGGTCCTTGTATTCCAGTTGACTTTGTTCAATCGGAATACACTCTTGTTTGGACCACATTAGTAGCTGTGGTTCTCCTGATGGATCAAATTACTGCACCTACTTTCACAGCATGAAGCTAGTTGGGTAACTAGACTTTATCCCACAACTGGACTTTCCTATATGTGAATTTGTAGAGCCAATCAATCTCCTATTAATTTCCTTAAGAGTACTGCTGGGGGGAAGAGCTGCATTGATTCTGCAAAGAGCCACACCCATGGGATTGCTGAGCAACACCACTAACACCTTGCAGTGACTGTATCACACCAGAAACCTTTACTGAACTACGTTAGGGTTCATGAGACTCTGTTTCTGGGGAACAGGGATGAGCTGATGATACTTTACAATTAGTAAGCCATTGCATTCCACCAACATGAATTCCTGTTCCAAAGAATTCCAAGCAGATTGAGATTTTAAACTGGCTGCCATGCTGCACAAAGGTACAAAACATTCCTACAGACTATGACATAATATGAAGCATGGTGGAGGGATCATCATGGTTTGGGCTGCTTTGCTACCCAGTCTTTCAACCAGTAAGGGAACAATAAATTCAAAACTGCAGCAAGAGGTTTTGAAGGCCCCAGAATATCCAGACCAGTTGCTGGTAAAATCATCATACAGCCATCTATTTATGCTTGCCATGACGGCACAGGTAGCCACTGTAGTATTCCCAAAAGATAAGCGTTGCTATTGAAACCTCCACATCAATGCTGATATAGGAGAAGAAATCAAAACTGGATGTCAGAGTCCTGCCTTAACCATTAGTGTTGCATGGCCTAGGACTGTTAAATCGAGTCCAAAGTCTAATAAGCAGCTACAGGAACCATTACTTAAGGAACTTCTAGGAGTAACTAAGGGTTCATTAAAGTGGTTGCAGTCGATACTCAGCGATGAGGCTTGAACCATCGCTGAAATTTTTAAAAAGTAGAGTCTACTGATTTCTAGAGCAACAGTGGTAGATTGTGTGGCAACTCACCTTTTGGATAATCTGACGTGCTGTAGTCTGGAGGCAGGATCTGTGGTGTTGCCACTGAAGTGGTACCATTCAAAGAGGGGTAAAGACTTGTGGTCCCTGTGGACCCACTAAATTCAGGCCCGTTGGGTGCTGCAGCTGGTCCGACTGGCTGCTGGTTTTGAGGAAAAAAGAGGCCTGGCGCATAACTAAATGCATTGGGTGACACCAGTTGAGACTGCCGCTTGTTTTGGAAGTCCTCATTCATCAAGGCCCCTCCCTCTGCTCCTGGGTGGTACTCAGCTGGAGGAGCGCTGGGGGAATTGTGGGAGGATCCCCTAGAGCGAGGGGCAAGACGAGGAGCAGGTTTTGGGGCTGGACGAGGGGGCAAGGTGGGCGAGGAGGCAGAAATGGATGTGTCTAGTGTTGAGTCAGAGGCTGGCGTATCCTCAGTGGAAGGAGCAGATGCTTTTTTGGACGGCCGTTGTTTTTTGTCTAATGCGACGTTCCCAATGTGGATGGGTAGTGTCAGCATGACATCAGGAGACTTCAGACACACCTGGTTCATCAGCAGAACAAAAAAGAATGTCGGTTGGTGGAATAGACCGATTTTCATTCTTTGTCAATATTAGAGGATGTAAATCTGCTTTGTCAGCTGGTCAAAAGTTTAAATCAGCACAAAAATCACATTTTTTTAGACTATGGGAGCTCTTGGCTCTTAGGGATTACTAGGAATTGCTTGTCACTGACCTGATTATTCAAAACCTTGTAAACACATGGGACATGCAATATGTGTGTTGTGTGTGTGTGTGTGTGTGTGGGTGTGTGTGTGTGTGTGGTGTGTGTGTGTGTGTGTGTGTGTGTGTGTGTGGTTGTTGTGTGGTGTAAATAATATAGGTTCTTGCAGCTATCCTCATGCTTACAGTATTGCACATACTACTCATAATTTTTCAGACAGGTAGCAAAGCAATACCGAGTATGTATCAGAGAAGGAATATGAACCTACTTTGACAAAATATTCGATCTTTATAAGCTCACAGCCAGCGAGGGAGGACTGAGGCAGGGGAGGAACAATGATCTGCTCCTTCCACTCCACCTCTTTGCCAGCTTTCACCACGCCTCCCTCCACCTCCGCTATTATTCTCACATCATGGGTCGGCTTCTTCGTCTCATAGGTCACTCTCTGAAAACATACGACTATGGATAGTCAAAAACTGTGATCAGTGTTTTGACTGCAAAATACAGCCAAAGTAAGCGTGTGATCTCACAAATAGGCTTCTGGAAGAATAGTCAAAATTCTCATAAGCACACTTTCAAACATTGTGGAAAGCCTTCCCAGAAGAATTGAAGCTGTAATAGCTACAAAGCCTAGGCCAACATCATATTAGAACCCTATTCGTTAAGAATGGGATGTCAGTTAAGTTCATATGCATGCAAAGACAGATGAACAAATACTTTTGACATTCAATTAACTTATAGAAGAAAATGCCAGAAGGGCCAGTCCTGCTAAATGCGAGCAGGACTGCTAGTAGCTAGCAATAGTAAATTTAGAAACTGTTATTCCTATAGTGTCAGACTCAAGTTTGGTCTTCTGTTGGGTTTATCAACGCAGCCATCATATTTAGAAGATATAGAAAATAAGTTTAAAACATGGATTGTAAATGTAAAAACATAACACTAAAAGTGAGAAAACTACTACCAGAAGGTAACCAGAGTTAAGGAGATATAAAGTTCCAACCTGTATCAGACTGGCTGCCATGTTGCCGGTGTTCTTCCCAGATTGGTTGTGGATGTTGGCGGTCACCTGAATGATCTCTCCTGGTGTGTAACCCTTCATGTGCGTCTGAGCCCTCAAGACTATTGTGCCAGTTTTCATCAACATGTAGGTGAACTGCTGAGTCACTGCAGATGAGCAGGTTCCCTATATGGGTCATGGCAAAAGACACTGAATAGTATAATTGACTTTAAATTAATTTGGTGAATCTAAATGCCAGTAAGTACAAAACAAAGCAAATAACACTCAAACAGTTTCTTGTCTAGTTATTCAAAGGATTAGAATTAACGGTTCACACAAATGCAGAACTCTAGATTCCCCATTTATTGCATTTAGTTGACAACTGCACACCTGCTCTTCATCAGACTCTACCTCCTCCCTGTCCCATTGTTTTCAGCTCTTCACCTGCCCCATGGGATGAGGAAGATGTGCAAGTTCTCTTGTGTTCTTTGTCCAGTTATCCAAAAATCTAAAGTTTGTGGATTCATTGCTGTTTATCAGAAATAGTTCCAAAGTGTTAGGGTTGGTCCAAGCTCCAAATCAAAAAAAACTTGGCTGTTGTGTGTTTGAACTCTGAAGACTAATTAACTCAGTGTTTAGGACCAACCATTCAGGGACTGAATACAGACATACAGCTATAATGTCTCACCCATATATCTGGCACTTCATTCAGGTTCAGAAGGCTTAGCAGGAAGAAAGCTTTCTCTGTGGTGTAGTCCTTGGAAAATCGTGGTGTGTCAATAAAAGCCCTCACTCTGTAAATGATCCTTCCATAGATGCCTTCAAAAGATGTTGGAGCAGTGGCTGTGGGGAAGAAGTAAACTGTGTTAGTTTGTAGTTATACAGTAGTGTGAACTACAGTTTTTAAAAGGAGTTACATTTTTTTGCAGAAAGAGTGAGGAGCACCCAGGAGCAGGGATATTTTTTCCTCAGGCGGCCACAATATTAGTGATCTGTCATTTTAGATTTAAATCCTTTTAATGTCTGGAAGGGATGTTTGAGTAACTCCTCTAAAATGTGTTAACCCTCAAGTAACACACTTATTGAACATGAAGACTATAAAGACTTGTTGAAGAATGTAGGGACCAAAAGAAAACATTGTGAGAATAAATACTCAGGTAAAATACAGATACCTCAGAACAAAGTAATTGTACTTTGTTCTGTGTTTAATTAACCTACATGTACAGCTGTGCTTTAAAACATTGTAAAAATGTAACCACTCCGCTTTCTGTTTGTGTTTTTGTCTATAACATAAAGTAGTATAAGACATGGTTTCAGTCAACACTAACTCCAGTCCTTTAATGAAGCTGTATAGTTCTGATACTGTGTGCATGAAGAGTATTAACAGTAATATTGGTAGTAGCATAACTTGCAGGGAAAAAACTAACTACCTATTTTGGGGCACCAACATTTGAAATAGCTCTCACTGGATTTGACTGACACAGTCCAGGGAGTTTTTATGTCCGAGCCGCTGAACTGAATTTACTGAATTTAAAGCTATAATCCATCCAGATTAATTCCAAAATAGCTGCTGAGTTTTGACACCTTTTCCCAAAAGAACTATGATATTAATTTATAAAGTATAGAGCTCTTCTCTTTATTAACCTTCCAAATCTTGACAAATACAGAAACAAACAAACAAAAACTTCCTAGGCACCTGCCAGCACTCTAGGAGTGAAAGCAAACAAGCTTAATGATTCATATCAGATTCACAAAAACTGGCTTGACTGGTTCTGAGTTTCTGTGATCCTAGCTACATTACATAAAAGGCTTCTTGTCTTGTCTGCATGTCATCTCTACACAATGACTAAACACTGTTGCCTGTGTTCTATTGTGTGACAGCCAAAACGAATCAAGACAATGTATAGAAAGGAAGTCAAGTATTTTATTTCAGGCAACAGTTTTGGCACTGAATAAAAAGTTAACAAGTCTTCAAATGGTGATACTAAAATATTTCCTCATTATTCAACTGTCTCGTCATCTTTATGCACAGTTATCTTAAGAGTCCATAACAATTAATGGTGTAATCAGGGAGTTCTCTCAAAGATTGCATTGTTATGAGTCAGTGGAACAAACTGTATACAGCTGACGTCACAGTAACCATTACAGGGATGGTACTGGAAAGCATCCACCAGTCTCTTCTTAGTTAGACACCATCATGGCACCTCATTCAACTCATGTATACGCTCTGCAATTTTGGCCCGTTCCAGAGAAAAGATGACTGATGGCAGGTTATAAGGGCCAAATTATCTGTTGTGGTGGCCCCAAAACGAGAACTGTTGCAATTGCCTTATCACTACTGATGGACAAAATTCTGACAGCGCCAAAGATTTAGAGTGACCTTATCTCACAGCGTCAGTGCTGCCCAGCATACCTATGTCAGTGACGCAGTCAAGACTCATGACTACACTGTTGTTTTTCAACACAACACTGAAAAATGAACAACCCAAAGCCTTGCTGAAGATCAAATAGTCAGGCAAAAATGTAAAAACAGAAGAAGAAGAAAAGCTAATAAAAGGAACAAATTTCTGAGCAGGTTGTAAACAAAGAATCAATTTGATCTCTTAACCACTTTATCTGGAGGTTAAACTAAAACCACCCCAACCATCACGAGAAATAACCCTTCACTAGTGGTGTGCGGATTGATATTGAAATATCGATTCTTCCAATACCAGTAATTTATGCTTGAAAATCGATTCTCATATTAAAATATCACCATTTTAGTACTTTGGGGTAAATTTGTAGTTTTTCATTAACAGGAACACAGTGGAAAGAAACTACATCATTGGGATTATCTAAATTGGAAGGAACTACCTCCTCTTATGCATTTCAGTCATATGTGAAATAAGACTGAATAAATGTGTCGCAGCCTCTGGCGTGCGCACTCACAATGGCTGAGCGTAAACAAAGTCATGTGTGGACGTATTTTACCTCCACAAACAGCCAAGACGCGATGATGATACATGTGGCAAGAAAGTGAGGTGCTGTGGCAACACCACTAACCTCGTCAAACATGTCAGAGTAAATCATATCACAGAATATGACGAGCGTATGTTGAGGCGAACTGACGAGACAACAAAAGCATGCAACACACACACACCACACACACCACACACCACACACACACACACGGAAAAGAAAACCAGTCCCATCCTCACAACATGCCAGAACATGTCTGACAGACAGGAAATGAAAGGGGAAAATAAACATGCAAAAATATCCCATCAACTTCACCTACCTGGTATGAGAAACTTGAAGGGAAACGTGTGCATTCCCTCTTTCAGGGTACCTATTTGGGACACAAAGCACAAATAAAATCCTTTGATGGAAACAGTAACAGTTGCTCTGTTGTTTCCAAACAGTCAGATATGCCTCAAGGCTGCAGTGGAAAATGAGAAGTTGTAATCTTAACATATTGTCACATGAACCAGTTCCATTTGCAAATTTGTCTCAATTATCACAACAAACCATCTCACAAGGAAGTATTTTGTGGACACTGGACATTTGCACATGGTTTTAATTAGCATTTGGAAGCACACCTTTGTCTGCCACTGAGATCGTGCTGTTGAAGTACTGCTCCTCCATCGTCCATGCTGTGTCATTGAACTTATTGGTGATGCCGCAGAAACCATTGCAGTTCACTTTGATAGCTGCAGATAAGAAAATACACAAGTTTAACTACAGATGATTCGTAGTAGCCACAGCAGGAAACACTTTTTGTAATCAGTCTTTTCCTCAAGGGTGTGTTATTGGTCTGTTTAATGGCATATTGCTCCAGATTTATACAACATCAATATGTGCAAAAGACCTGTAATAAACACCCTTCAGGAGAGTTTAGGATGCATTATTTGATTTGGGAAATAGCCTAAGCCAGCTAATGTTTTGTAACAAAAACAGACCAAAAACAAATTACTGGTCAAAAGTATAAAGAAAGCTTGACTTTATACTGAAAACCATAAAATGCTTGAACCAGATTTTCACCAGATTAGGAAAGGCAGCCAAATATTCCACAACATTGTATTGTTCCTACAGTCTACTGTTGGTCAAAGTCTGAAGGTTATTCAACTAGTCTGAATGCTTTATTACTGTTTTAATGTAATCCTTCATTAACAGAAACAAAGGTAACCATTACATAAAATCCAGGTCCTACATTTTATGAACATAAAAAATACCCCAGCTTTACAGCTTCAATGTTAGCCAAATTTGTTTCCATTTTGTGCTGTTGGTGCCTTTGGAGAACCATCTCGATTGAAAAATGATCTAACAAGTAATATGGTTTGTTAAAATAATGACTTACCAAGAAGTTTGTGCTTCAGCTTTTGTGGTTAAAGTTTTAGAATTGAGTTATGGTGTCTATTACCGAATGCCAATTAAATTTCACGTGTTTCAGCATATGCTCAAAATAAAGGCACATCTACCTCTGAAAGAACATACCAGCAACAATAATACCTGCTAATAACGTCCAGGACCTACAATGTGGTGATGTTTGTCCAGAAATTAAATGGTTGACATCAAGGTAAGAATGTCCATCTTTTCAATACAGTCTGTGGTCCAAATACATGTTGTTATATTCCCAATTTTAAGTCACATAAAAATGTTCAAAATGTTCTCAGTAACACATTCGAGCTAACAGCAATAGAAGAAAGCTTTGCTTTGCTGTCCAGGGGCACACTGCTACAATGATGGCATCACATGAACAGAATGAAGAGCGCCAAAAACGTTTAGAACATTAAACACGACCTTTACCAGTCTCAAGAAATCCCAAAACAGAACAAAACATATGAAAAGTTGGTTGTAGGTTCTTCAATAAACTGGCTGTTTAAGTGAATAGTGGTGAGTGAAACTAAGATTTTTATTGCAGTGTTAATATTTTTCAGTGGCGCGTCTCATCACAGTACTTAAAATAGTTTAATATACCATTAGTATTTTAAACGGTGAAACTGTAGCATGTAGCATAAGAGATCTTGAGCCGACAGTCCGACCAGCTTTACCTGAAGAGGAATGTAAACAGACCAGAGGCCTCGCAAGCATTCAAAGTAACAAAACACAAAGACGCCACTCAGCAGGTTGAGAGCTACAAAGAGTAGAAGAAACCTTTCCCTTGCAATCTGCATTCAAATGTGTTACCTTTTATTGTCCTTGTTGACACAGTAGAACCTTTGAGATGTTAAATATCCCAAATAAGAAGAATGAATAAGTGCATTCAGATGGATGAGATGTTGCTTTTAGAGCAATCTGGACAATGACGCTCACTTTTCCTGTTTCAAGTTTCATTTTGGTCTCTTGATGACAGTCTTAAGTATGTTTAAATGTACAGTCTGACTATACAACACTACAAAATAAATAAAACAGCAGAACCAATTAGACACTGCTCAACGCCAGTGCATTACTTTAGAGCAGGGGTGTCAAACTCAAATACACAGTGGGCCAAAATTCAAAACTGGAACAAAGTCGCGGGCTAACATTAATATTTACTGAAATATATTTATTCCTCCAGATGTAAGAATGAATCTTTTCTTATGGACTCAAACACGTTTAGCTGAAAAACTGAATATGGAACAAGCAAAGCTTAATACTAAACAATATATATATTAGCTGTATAATAGTAGGCCAGCTCTGATAGTCATTTGGTATGGCTTCGCGGCCCAAATGTAATTAGGCTGCGGCCAAATTTGGCCCGCGGGCCAGAGTTTGACACCTATGCTTTAGAGGGTCCCTTCAGAGAGGGGGGGCCTTGACACAGAGCCAAAACTGGACTAAGGCAGCAAAGTGATAGAGTATTTAGTACAGTCGCCTCACAAAAATGTCCCTGGTTAAAATCCTGGCTGGTGCTTTTCTTTGGGGACTGATGCCTGTGTGGGTTTCCTCAAGTTAGTTTTCACCAAAGCCAAGCATGTTAGGTTAATTAGTCATTTTAGATTGAATATGAATGTCGGGTAGGTAAAGAGAGGTTTATAGAATACAGTGCTGCAATAATGTATAATTAAACTTATTTTCTGAGCTAATCTTTCAACTTTTAACTAAACTTAATCTCCATACATAACATAAAAACAGTAGGAAATCTATGCTTATAAAGCTGAGCAGGACTGAGGAGTTGAACTAGGAATCATGTTAAACAAATTATAAACTATCAAAACAGAATATTTACATAGTCCAAAGTCCAGGTATTTTGCTGTAATTTAATGAAAGACCGTCAATTTGTGTTTTGGATAGTTTGGGAAATTGGGATAAAACATTGAACCAAGTGTTACAAAACACAGAAGCAAATTTCCCATTAGGCCTCATTAAACATTTTCCATTGAATCAGTGTGCAGAGCTACACCGCGGTAAACGGCCAATGAAAAATCATATGCAAGTTTTAGAACCACAAACACAGAACACCACAGGATGGCTTTTCAACCTCTGAGTGATCTTCAAATAGGAGAAGTTATTTCTAAAACCAGGCGTGGGAACAGTGTAGGAATTACGACTCGTTGCCAAATCACCCCACTTCCTCGTTTCTCGAGGTCGACGTTTTCCCACCTGCTGAGCGCAGATGGCTCTTACCTTTACACTGCAGCGGTTGGCCCAGTTTTACTGTCACGGTTCCAGAGATGGACTCTCCCGGACTGTACACTTCTTTGTTTTTCTCAAAGGCAATCTTAAACTCCTGAAGCTTTCCCATTTTCTCACCCGACGCAATGCGAAACAAGACTGAAAATCACCTGTGCGTACAGACGACAGCGCTCACTTTTACCTCCTCGTCCCCACCCCTTTTAGTGACGTCATGTTCACCGGACAAACGTTACATAAAAGACTGCTTTTTCAGGCGTATTAATAACAAAGTTGTCTCTTAGCATATCTCTTAGCATAAAACAAGTAAAGTTTTCCAATGTTTCATTTTCTTTGCCTAGTATCATATGCCTGAAAATATCTACATGCATAAAACCCATTACACTTACCTGCAGCACTCACAGCCTCTGTATTCTCATCGTAGATCAACTCCCAGAACTTAATGGCTGAAGCAGAAGGACCGCCTCACAACCATTAGCAACTCCAGAGTGTTTTTCCCCAGAAACTGGGAAGCAGAATTGACGACGACACACCACATACACCATCAGACCAACTGGTGAGCACTTAAACACTGTTAAATTAGGGATTACTTTATTAATTCAGTGGTGTCATTAAAAATGACACTTTTTACATTAACACAGCTGAATGAAGCATGAGCCAGCTGAGGGCAACTGTCACATTTAAGATATTGAAGTATTCTCAGTGATATTAAGGTTAGCAGTGAGCAAACTAAAATTAACCCATCAATTAACCGCCCTGAGGCAACTTTTGTTGTGATTTGGCGCTATATAAATAAAATTGAATTGAATTGAAACCAACAATATTTTCTCCAGACTGTTTTTTTTCTTATTTAATTAAACGTAACTCAGCTGCATCCCCAGAAGGTCTCTTGTTTGGTGGCTTTCCATAACAGGTTAATATCAAATGAGCTTAGTTGCATTTGGATGAAGCTTATTAATAAAACCATGAGGTTGTATTACCGCATACTTACCTTGTTCTTATGTTAAAACAGTTAAGTATGTCAAAAACAATTAATTATCAATGATACCAACATTGTCTTTAGATAGTGACATTTATGCAATGTAATATAATGTGCTGATGTCATTAGGGACTGCTCTTGCAGATTACATTCTTATGACTTAATGGAACAAAGTAACAGCTGCTGGATTGCATTAGGAACTGTTTCTAAACCTGTTCTTGTTTTCAGTGGTGAAAAATAGGGTGACAGATGAGGTTAGGCATCGGTCCCTGTAGACTTTGATGCTTGCATACAACATTGTGATCTGTAGAGAGGTGGCCCAGGTGGCAGAGAATTTGGAAATGGAAAAAGTATGCACTGCAGAGAAGGGAAATCTAGTAGGTAGCAAGACAGATCAGAATCAGAATACTTTAATAATCCCTAAGGAAATTATGTATTCAGATTACCCAACCCTCATCCCCAATCAGTCGTGGCAGATGGCTCAGGCTCAGCCTGATAGAGAAGAGAGTGCAAGAGACAAGTGTTGGGGAAAATTGGGAAAAAGATATTAATAGACTTGTCTTTTTCACCTCTGATATTTGTTTTTGGGCTGCTTACAAGACAGGTAGACTTACCTGGTGAAGAGGCAAAAGGTTTAACCAAAACATCTTTAACCAAACCATATTGCTCAGACAAGGAGGACAGAGAGGTGTCGTTTTGTCTTGCTTCCCCCGAGTTAGCCAGGGAGCCGTTTATTAGCATTCAACAACAACGACACAACAGCACTCTCTCACCCCACACAGAAAAACATGGTCGCAGAGAGAGCGCGTCACGTGGTAACCGTGGGAACATAACGCTGCCGCCTGAAACAACAGAATACAGCTGCCAAATAAAACCCAAACAGCCCTGACCCGCTACATAGCCCCCACCTAAGGGGTCAGTCATCCCCGACAACCCCATTACCCAACACAAAGTCCTGCAAATGTCCCGGTGTCATCTTTCGGCGCACCGGCCGATCTCAACCAGCAGGGGAAGAGTCACTCAGATCAGAACATGGGGTGCCACTAGCATCCCCTGCCCTGGCGACTGTTGAGCGAGCCGTCGGTACGGTGAGAGTCTGTCCTGATGCAACACCACCATACCCCTCGGACCCAGCATGTGGATCCTGTACACCACTTCTGGAGGTCGCTCCACGACCTCCGCCGGCCCCTGCCAGTGACTGCACAGCTTGGAGGACACTCCTCTCTTAAGGACAGGGCAGTACACCCAAACCTTATCACCAAGCACAAAAGCTCCCCCACTGGCACCTGATGTCGTACTTCGGCGCCGGCCTAGGCCTGGCAGGTGTAGTTATGAACCACCCGCAGCCGCTCCCTCAGCCTCCTGTAGTAGTCCACCTCTGGCTCACCATCAATCTCCGGCTCGGGTGGGGGACCCGAACACCAAGGCATCACTGCACACTGTCGGAGGCTCGGCATGTCGGTCAACAGAGGCAGCCCACGAAGCATTGTCCTAGTGTCTGTCATGAGAGCACTTCACTCTCAGGCTGCTGGCTTGCTTGTGGTTCCTATTGTATTTAAAAGTAGTGTGGGAGGCAGAGCCTTCAGCTTTCAGGCCCTCTTCTGTTGAATCAGCTCCCAGTTTGGGCCTTGGGCCCCTGCCCTTGGCCCTCGTCAGGTTGGCTAGCCTCTGGTGGGATTGCCTATTGTGTCTGGCTCACTGGGATGCTTGCCCTTTTGGCCGTGGGCCATGTGGAGCCTCCCTTCTTCTCTTGCCTCCAAGATGTGTGGGCTCAGGTCTTCAGGTACCCTTGGGGACTGTGGATGCCTTGACTCTCCTGTATCCTTCCTTGGCTTCCCACCTTTATTATCAATTGATTGTTGATCTGTGTTCCTGTGCTCATATTTTTCTGTTGAAGGTGCTGTATGTTTTTTCTTTCTTTTTTTCTCTGTTTTTTTCTTACAGGTACAGCAGTTGGCGATACATCATGCTTTTGTATTAGTGCTCTTTCCTTTTTTTAATATTTTCTACTGTTTTCTCCTTGTGACACACGCTAGGCACAGATACACCCACACACACGTCGTTAACATCAGATGCACGTTTATTGTGAGTGTCCACAGAATGACAGCTGAACACCGTTTGACAGCGGTCGGTTTCCCCAGCTTCCCTCCTCCGCTCCTCTCCGCCTCACTATATAAAGGGAAGGAAAAACCACCATCAGTCCAAAATCGCCATCAGCTGTTCTTACCAGCACCGCCCCGTTGAGCTCACTGCACCACTCCTCCCCTGCAGCCGCGCCCCGGACCACACCTCCGCCACACTCCTATCTTCAATTTTTTTATTTTCTTGCCTGTCAGCTTAGACATTGTCATACTACACATTTTGTGTAGAAATGAATGAATAAACAGATAAAAGTAACATACAAACTCAAGGAGCCCATAGAGAATTTATAGAGCTCATCTTGTAAAAAGCAAAAATGTCTTTGGCACAACATCGCATCAGGTCATCATTCTCATTGCATAAAGTGCCAGACAAGACAAAACACACATACTGATAGTAGAGAGAGAGAGCAAAAGAGAGAAATGGGTGAACTGGAACAGGAGGACTGGGAGACCATGACACCTGTTGGTGGAACACCACTAGAAAAAATCTAGTATCTAGTGTGTTGGTTAAATCTTTGATGCAGGCCTGTATGCTGAAATGCATTGGAGTTTTAGTTTAAGTTGAACTATGCAATGAGAATGCCTCATTGGGCACCTTAAAAAAAAAAGAAAAAGAGAATGGCTTGGAGGTTTTTTTAAAATTTTATTTTAAAGCCCAACTTTATTTATGTAGGATACTGTTTTATTATGAATTGAATTTTAGCTGCAAATATTTCTTCAATTACTTCACATTCCTGTGGCAAAGGTGTGGCTCTGCTGAAGAGGAGGGGTGGTGCAGTGTGTTTGGCGGAGGCAAAAGACAATCTCCAGACATTCTTTCATGAGGTGGAGGCTCGACAGAGGTTTGGACCCAAAACAGACAAAAAAAAAAGCTCTCCAAGTAACACTTAAATATTAAATAAAATCCAATTGTGAAGCTGAACTTTAAATGGGTGGGCAAGGGAGCAGGGGTGTGTAGAAAACGATGTGCCAGGAGTCAGGTGTTCTCGCCGGTTCTAGTGAGCCTCGACCTCCCGGTCAGCTATCGAGCTGGTGGGTAACAGACATCCTCAGCAGCTCCATAGAATATGTAGAATCGAGGCACCCTGGCCATCACATCTCCAGCAATTGTCCATCGGTATCAAGTTCCATTTTTGCAATTATTGCAGTGTTCGATGCCACCTGTGAATTATCTTTAACTGGATAAACCTGCTGCCAATTTCCTTGTTTGTCAGCTAGTTTTATATTAAAATGTTAACACAACACACTGACACCACAAACACAGTGGAGAGTTCCAGTTCAGTTACTTGGAGTGAAAGTGCAGTTGCCAGTGTAAGGATATCTGTAGATCAAAGCAGCAATGCCCCTAAGCCTTGACAGATGAAATCCACCCTAATGAAACTGTTGAGAACTATCTAAAACAAGCACAACTTGTAATGAGCTTTAAGTGCCCATTAGAAACTCAGTTTTTAGCACTTCTATATTTTCATTTTTCAGTTTACATTTTTGTGTTAAGTACACTATATGGGGAAAATTGTTTTGCATATGAATGAATGAAAATGGGTAAAAATATAATGGAATGTTATTCCACTCACCAAAAGCAATACTCGTAGTAGTAGTGTAGTTGCAACACAGACTAGTGATAGATTTACTTTTACTAAATATGTTGAGCTTTGTTTTATAACCAAAGGCTAACTTTGTTTTGTTCTTGAGCGCCTGAAAACACAATTAATTTATTCTAGCAGAAAATAAAAAGCCAACAAGTTTCAAGTCTCTTCCTGTTTTGCTGACATTGAAACAGTGAATGCAGAATGCAAGTAAATTCCAGTCAAATGACTGCACTAAGCTGCAGTTATGATGCTACATGGCAGCATGCAGGCGGTGCTTGCAAACTAGTGATTTTTCTCACTGCTTTTGCATGTACTGCTGTGGTGAGCACTGCAGATGTTTCATAGGTATTTTTGACATGAAGAAAGAAAATGCTCTCAATTATGGAAACAGCCAGAGGGTTTATTTGTGTGATTTACGTGTGTGGCTGTTAATAAAGTTGGCGCTCTCTCAGGGGCGTGAGCGTTCATCCAAAATGGCAGAAG